GGTTCAGTAAAGGAAGTAGCATACTGGCAGTTAAAGAGGATTTCCAAGCCAGGCTGCCTGCTGAGATTAGGGTTGCTGAAGAATAACTGAAACAAGCGTGAGGAATTGCTTCCCTAAAAGAGCTGAATGCAATACGAATCTCTCTGTGGCAGCACGAATGCATCATGCTTCATACTGATTCCTTTTAGCTAATATTAAAGCACATCAGCTTGCTTGCCCCTATGCGTGTTTGCTGCTACACCTCGTTGTACCTGCATGAAGTTGGATACCTTTCCTGCCCAGGGGCCATAAACACTAGTGATAATCACAGAATTTCTGTTTACACCTATGCTTTTTCTAAATGCCCCAGACCAGAATAACCAATGTGATCTATGTTCTAAGGATGCAAAAGGCACACAAAGATAAAATAACAAAGAACAGCACGTTTGCCTTTGGTTTGGTGCTTGAGGGTGAGCTCTCTGAGTGGAGGCTCTTCTCTAGACCTACTCTTACTTGCTAGTAAGAGACACCGTGTAGCAGATTCTGGTGTAACCTTCAAGAGCTGAAGCTTTATGCAAAATACTGAGATACTTGCAGTTCTAGCGTAAGAGTTTAGTGTTGAGTGACTATACCATACAGATTTTTTTCCTGATAATCCTAATTTTTTCTTGTACTGTACATTGTCTGAAAATCATCTTTTGGGATGCTTAAAATATCCCAGTGTTTCATCTCATCGATCAAAATGTTCTGCTCTATTTTTACTCAGTACAAAATCTTGGTGTTGAAGCTTCCTGCTATAATGCTATATATGTTCACTCTCTTCACATAATGAGCATGTGTTTTGAAGCAGTTGCTTTTCAAGGTCAGTGCTTTTTCAGACAACTGTACTGCAATATGAGTCATAGGAGTTAATGACATAAACCAGTCAGTGTAAAACCACTGGCTTTTGGGTAAGCAGCAATTGAAAATGAGTAGAGTTCTCAGGCCCTTATTTTTCTCCTCTGTCTGGTCACTATAGTCATAAAGAGGAAATGATGGTACAGAATTTCACTTCTCTCTGCTTATCTGCCGTAGGGAGCAGTTTTCTCATCTAGCTTCACTGGGCCAAAGAAAAAAACCACGCTTGAGGGAGTCTCTGTCTAACAGTATAGCAAAAATTGTCCCAAACTTTATTCTGAAGATTAAGTTCACCTTTAGAAATACATCATCTCCATTTTGGAATAGACTTTGGAACAGAAGCACCACAGCCAGACATTGACAAATTTTAAAGGACAATGTAGAGTAACCACATGGGGACTTCTGTATGATCTGACACTGGTTCCTGAGCAGACAACGTAGTCACTGGGTTGGCAATTTGTACTGGGGCTGTGGTTTGGGGTGTGTTTGCAGATGTGGGTGCACAGTAACTCCTTTGGGGAAAGGCACAGAAGGTTCTCAGCCCCATTCACGTGACTTTCAAACTACAAGCAGGATACTTGGGGTGCATGCTTTCCTCCAACTTTTCTAACAAATTAAGTAAAACTCACTTAGTAAATCATTTGGTAGTTGTTTTGTCTGTGTTAAGTCAGTCTCATGAGTTCACCAAACCTGTAAAGTTGTCAGTAGTCTTTACTCCTGGGCTTTCTCCTTGGTGCTTTAAGTGCATAATACAAGACTGCCTTGCTGCTGTTGTGCAGTGGTACCAAATACAGGGACGTGACAGAAACAGGAATCCTTAGCAATCCAGTATATTTAAAATGTGTTATAAATCTAATAATTATATTAAACTAGAGATTTTTCCTGTAGCATTGTAATTTTCATGTTAAATCTATGTCGTGCATCTGAATGTGTTTCCTGGATCTAGATGTTAAGTTCCAAAAATCCAAATCAGGAATATTTCCACCATCCTCTCTGCCTATAAATCTTTTCTCTAAGCCCGTTCTCTTACTCAACAATTGCATTTCATTACAGCATTTAAACACTGCATGCATTTCTATTTAGAACCAAGTAGCATTTTGAGCTTGAGATGGTTTTGTGTAGAAATGGGTGAATTGATGAAGCCACCTCTCAGAGTGAAGATACTCTTATCGATAAGGAGGATGACTCCAGTGATTCCTACCCCAATTATGTGTTTCACGTTTGCTTGGAAAAAAATGTCAGCTTGGCATGTAGTAGCAGCTGAATCACCAGCTGATAGCATAGCATTTAAAGCCAGAATTAGAAGCCAAAGATAACTATAGCAGACAGCTAAGTGTTGCTACATTACAGTTACTCCAAGAAAAGCTGTTCCTGTTTGTCATCCAGAGCCCTTAAAAGTGTGGCTTTCCTGTAGGTTTTCCATTAAGACAATGGAATAATTTCATTTTTGTTTTCATACAACGTAAGAGTGAAAACGGACTATTAGATCACCTAGTATGATTTTCTGTGTGTTGCCATTAAATATCATCCATTCTCTGGGGTCCAGGCCCGGTAGCATACCTGACTAATACGTATCTCCCAGAAGAGCTATGCAGTCCTGATTTGAAATGTCAAAGATGGGAAGTCCATTTCTTCACTAAGGAGTTTGTTCTGGCACTTAATGATTCTCACTGTTCAAATCAGTGCCTTATTTCTAATAGGACTTCTCTGGCTTCATCATCCACCTGCTTGTTCTTGTTGTGTCTTTGCCCTTTACTTTAAAGACCCTTCTAGTACTCTGTAATTTCTTCCTGGATAAGTACTTGTGCGCCGCAATCAAGGAAACTAAATGTTGGGGCTGGTTTGGCTGTGTTTTTTAACATACTAAAGGGACTGAAATCTCTGACTCTTAATGTAGGACATTCTTTCTATCATCTCTGAAATTATTTCTGTGACACTTTCCTGCACCATTTCCAATTTTCAAACTGTTTTAAAGGGCACTAGAACTGCATTCAGTTATGTCTTACCCGTGTCCTACATAAACTATCTTTTTACCCCCATCACTACTTAACATACATAGTTTGCTGTGTATACTTTAAAGTAACGTGCTGTTTATCAGCTGTAGTTAATTCAGCTGTGTAGACAAGTTACAAGGTGGATATTTAATCTTCAGGCAAGTCACCTGTTCCACTTTCGGGTCATCTTCTTTTGCCAGCACTGTCTCACCCATGCATAACAAACTTAACTGAAGTTTTTAAGTTGAAATGGACAACAGTAGATCCCCAGCTTCCCCGGTGATAAATTTGGAACCATGTCAGCAAAGGTCAGGAAGTTTGATTGAAATTGGTTCTCTCTGGTGAACTTTGCAACTCCTGGCTCTCCAGCAAGCAATGGATAAACTGGACCTGTGCTTTTATACCTCAGCACCATTTGTATGTTCTCTCAGATACAATTTTCATTTTTCTAAAAGACCTTGTGTATGATATTTTGGTTTGAATATTAAATTCGGGCTTAAAAAAAATAAAAAAGAAAAAGACATGCATGCTTTCCTTTTCCCTAAATAACTATTCACTGGTTTGAGCTAAACATTTTACCCTAACACTGTATTCCTCCTATCCCATTTAATAAGACTATTTATTTGGTATTTGTGTGGTAACCCTTGAACCAATGAATAAGTAAAAAGATACTTAATGTTTTAGCATCTTTTTACTTTAATCAATAATTTGCATTCTTTGGCATAAGATCTCATTGCACAGAATTTACATAATATCAAAATAAAATCTCTCTTACAATACATTATTTCATGTTTAGGAAAAGTCCTGAAAACCTTAACAGTCACTCAGAACAGCTCAAGGAGAAAGAAAAGCAAGGGTTTTTCAGGGCAATAAAAAAGAAAAAGAAGAAATCTCAAACCGTAAGTATGCTGTATTTCTGAAAGAAAATATGTTTATCGGGTTGGAATTATACCATTTTAATGTGCTAGATTAGTAGAGTACCTTTCTATTATTTGTGATCATGCCCACATGTATCTATTTGTTCTTTTATTTTTTGTCTCCACTATATGAAAGACAAATTCTTTCCCTGTTCAGGGTTTATTTTTCTGCCTTTTCAAATATTTCTTCACCTACTATTGTGCATCTTTGTTTTCATTCAGACCTTTTGAGAGCCGGTTTTGATGCAAGTTTTAAGCTGATGTTGCAGCAAATTCTTTTGCAGGATATGGTGATACCATTCCGAGAATAGCAAATGCATTGTTGCGTGTCCTCAGAGCTTGAATAATTGCAGACACCCATTAGGAGGATATCAAACTGTTATAAATGAGAATTTTTTCTAGTATTTTTTATGACAATGTCTTGATAACAGCCTTCCTCTTCTTTCTGCACCCCATGGCTGGCATAAGGGTGATATGTCGTAACCATTCTTAATGTTTCATGTTGTGTTGGGGAAGGGATTGTGGCTTTTGTTATTTGGTATAAGCCTTTGGTGTCTTTTATACATTTTCACATTTTCATCTAGTTTTTGTGAGGGTGAAAGAACTTTCTTTTATCAGAGACCAGTGGTATATTAACATTTCACAAAGTTAATAATTAAAATCTCCCTAAGAACTGAAGTAACTTAAACATCATCTCATCTCATTCTCAGATGACAGCTCCGGAAACAGTAAAATATTTAAAATTTCATTTACATACAGTTTGTTTCACAAAATTTTAAAACTGCAGGTACTTTATCTTAAATTCTGGCTAGTACAAGTGTGGTCTTGCAGTTCTCAAACAGACCACCAGAAGCAGCACTTCTGAACATTTCAATATTTTTTTATTAATATAGTAGTATGTCACTAAATCTTATGTGCAAAACAGTTTCATAAATAAATGTCTGTCCTTCTCTGTTACCTGTTCTTTTCTGTGTGCGTCATTCTTACATTTCATTTTCGTGTGTACTGAGATCTCAGAATTCTACCCAATTATTTTTTTTAAATGGGCTTTTCACTAAAATGTGACTTTATTGTTAACCTGTTAGTAAGAATAATTCCTTATTTGATATTGGTATTGTGTGTGATGCTTTCAGTGTACAAATAAGAGGATAAATTTCAGATTTGATCTGGAATCTGAAAATCGAACTGTGTTTTATCTAGCAGAGGGATCATCCATCATCTCCAACAGTAATGTATGCCCTGCTCTTTGGAGGAGCTTACTTTAATTCCCCACATTGTGGGGTTTGGTTTGGTTTGTTTTGTTTCGTTTTAAGAACTTGATGCCATTTACATAGCAAGCTGCAATGTTTCTGTAAGTGTAACTGCAGCAAAAGTTTTGAAGGTTCTCAGAATGGAGTAAATCACGCTCAGTCCTTACAGTGAAATTGGCTTCAGAAGAAATTAATGGTACCACAGGGTAAAGGAGAGTAACTAAATCAAAATACCTCTTGTTGTAGAGGGAGGTGATATGACTCTGGGTGTTGGTGGAAAGCTGAGCTGTTGAAGATTGGGGGAGAGGAGTGATTATCAGGCTTTTTTTTGTTGTTGCTGTTTCTTTGAATGGTATGGAACATGTGCATGTGTGTGTCACAGCAGTCAAAAATACACCTTGCCTTCCTGCTGGCAGGTTTTAGAGCCCTGGCATCTACGTCTCCTTCTGAACTTGTTCATCCTGATGATACCTGTACCCAGTTCAAATGGAACCATTTGCATTACACAACTGAACAAAATCTCTAGATTATAACTCTGGGATTATTTGATATCAAAATGTCCATGAAAGGATAGCACACCTAAGGCCATTGGTTCCAGTGATGCATTTGAAAAAAAAAAAAAAAAAGTGTTCAGTTTGCACTGTTCTAGTCTATTCTGATTCCAGCCATTCACATGCAGCGGCAAGGAACACTTTAAAAGCCCAGCTGATAGATGGTGTATCAACTACTTCCAGATTAAACTGTGTGAAGGAGATATAGACTGGGTTGTGCTGCATCTCAAAATCCCGCAGTTTCCAAAACATCTAAATCGCAAGCACCTTGATCTATAGCTACCAAAACCATCACTTATTACAAGACAGGACAGAGTTATACATAATCCTTACTCCTGTTTTTACTCAGTCTTAAGGAGGGGGATAGAGGGTGAGAGAGAGAGGTTTTGCATAAGGGAAAATTATGATGGCTAGTTAGAGCTAGTACCTTACAGGAAGATGAATAAATTAGTGAAATAAGATAGTGACAAAACTCTTGCATCTTCAGCTAGAAACTTGCTGACATCAACTTGATTTTTGGACCCAACCAGAGACTGAAAAACCTCTTCTCGTTTCTACTTACAGCTGTTTAACAGGACAGTATCTAGGGACAGACTGTACCCACCAATGTGTGCACAAGTGTCTGGTTCAGACACTGTTCTTTGTTCTTTTTTCTCTGTTAGATGAGGACATCTACCTAACAAACACTGGGATGTTCATTAGGATCTTCCAGCACAAACAAAAATTATTACCTTCATTTCAGCACCAAGTTTGACTTCAGTAGTGAAAGCTGTTAACAGCACTGTAATATTAGCTCTTCAACTACATGAGTAATGTTTTCTATGAACTCATATTAAAAATCTAACATACAGCTTGTGACGACCCATGTTTTTTTGAGGCTTAGAATTCTTACAGAGTCCTAAAAGTATGTCATTCCACTTATTTACTCTGACACAGACTTTCTGCAGCAAATAACAACCTAGACCAGAAAACTGTCACAATGCTGAGAAGCATGTCATAGAATTAGAGTTTGTTAAGAGGGTGATAGTATCACATCCGCTAGCTACTATTTACTTCTGATACCCTTTGGCAAGTCCCATTTTGCTACTGATTGTCGTGAGAGTCATAAAAGGTATCTGAAATTGGAAGACATCTTCTTAATAATGTCTTTCTCAAAATCTCTAGCAGCCCAGAACTGATCCCAATTCCTGACAGCTCCTCCTGCAGAGTCGTTCCCGTTAATCATTCTCCCTAGAGTTCTCCAGGTCCAGTTCCTCATGGGACAATAATGGTTACTGCCTGCTACGGGAATTCTTTGCAATATTGGTTTTGCAGAGCTGTTCTTATCCATTCTCCTTTTCATCTTGTTTGGAGTCTTTTAGTAAAGCAGCAAAAGGTTTTGAGGATTGCTAGAGTCACAGTTTTTTCTGTCATCTCCCACCAAACAATTTGATATCCATGAGGGTTGTGCATAGTGTCAATAGGCACTACCTTCAGAGGAGCCCAAGTTTTGCAGATTTTGGCACATATCGCAAGCTATGGGTCTGAAGAAATCATCTGCTTTGGAAAAAACAGTTGCAGGTGAGCGTTTCTCCTAGTGCTGCTTTGATTCCTTTTTGATTTTCTGAACTTCAGACAGGAAATTCTTCTGACCATAAAGTTCCTAAACAAGCTATGCTGATTAGTGACTCCCATCTTTCATTAACTTGGATGGAATTTAGAAAGCTACCCTTGCTTTTGGTAGTGCACCCATCGTTCTCTTCAGTTGTACAATCATTATATTGTATTCTAAGGTTTTCCTTTCAATAGGCAAAATAGTGCTAATCACAGCACGAGTCCTGTGCATCTTCGTACCTGAGCAAGGGAGAAATAGTCCCATTCAAAATTTTAATACCTGACAACTCTGTTTGTGCGTCCATTGGTATGTTCTTTGGTTGTATTACAGAAATTAAAATAAAACAGTCAGTTCCCTTGCAGTTATACATGAAGTTGTTGAAGGCATATTTTTGTCGTAACTGAAATAATTCATCTTGGAGCTCTAGCTCTTTTCACAAGTTAAAAATAGAATACTGTTATTTCTTCTAGAGGTAGCTATCAACTGCTCATTCTGAAACCGATTGCTGTTAGTGTGTCTTTGATATTTTATTTATATAAAAATAAGAAATGACATACTGCTTTAGGTCATTATCATAAGTAACAAATGATTGCCAGAATTACAGGATTTGATCCAAAGCTTAGTAAAGTCAACAAGACTTACCAGTTGTTTCCAAAAGGCTTTGAAACACACTCTGCATTCTAATAGCCGTGGATATAAGAATAGGTGTACTGATCTCTTTTTACATGCTTTATATGCATTGAGTTTCTTCAATTCGTTCCATATGCTTTTTTTCATTCAATCACCATTGTACTTTCCCAAAGCAAATTACAGGATTGATACCATAGATTGTTGGAATTAAAAAAAGAAAAAAGTAAAAAAAAATATAGTAAGGACAGATCTCTTAAATTGAAATACTATGCATTTAGTTTTTGTATCTTATATTGCAGACAGACTCAACCAACGGGGAGAATCCAAGCATCAAGAAATCCCTCTTTCCTCTTTTTAATTCAAAGAATAATTTAAAGCATAGTTCTTCTTTGAAAAAGCTTCCTGTAGTCACTCTACCCATGGTATTAATTTTTAAGTACAGTAGCTGTAAAATGCTCCAGTAAACTTGTTTACTGACTACAGCAGCATGTGTTTTATTTTCATGGGATTACTTTCTCTTCATGCCAGTTAAGTATCTTGGGCCAGTTCGATAAATTTAAGTAAAATTGGCAGTTCTGTTGAAATAGATTGTACCTAAATTTTTTTTTTTGTAATATTTAATATACTGAAAATATAACATACACAGTTCCAGAGAGAATGAGCCCTGGGACTAAGACTAAAGGCGGAAAATAGTTGTGAAATCATTTATGTTTAAAATTAAACTGTCTCATTCTGTTTCAATCAGGAAAAAAATTAACCTGGTTTATTTTATAGCTATATTGGACATACACTTTTTATGCAAACTGCTCCTTTATATAAAAATTAAATTAACTAAATATTAACAACAGATATCTGTAAACAAAATTGTAGCTTGTGCCTCTGCTGTATTTTTGTTTGTCCTGATTGTTCATGATAAAAGACAGCTAGCGTTAAAAATAGGTTAAATTTTAAAGTGTCCTTTTTTTGCTTAGAATTCTTGAAATGAGATAAAATTCTACATATAAGTTTTAAATTATCCTTCTGCCATAAATTTTGTTGCATTTTCAGCTTGTTTTGGCGGGGGAGGGGAGGGAAAGGTTGGGGATTTTTGCTTTAATTTGGGATATTTGTGGAGGAAAGAAAAAGTTCTTGGTTTTGTGATGGCAGTATCAGCCAGACATCAGTTTAGAGAGATTTTGGTCTGCTTCCCTCAGGAACAAATTTATAGAACTGATCCATGGTCTTAACTGCAGTATGGAATGCTTTCTAAATGAAGATGAGGCTCAACGATTTTTTTTTTTTTTTTTTTTTTTTTTGAAGCCTTGTTTAACTGCTCTCTCTTACAGCAAATAAGACTAACAGCATGCGAATGCTTTAAGGGCTAAGGGTATAGCAAATCTGCATGATATCCGCAGCCACTTGCTCTTACTAGGGGGAAAAATACTGAAAGGTTATTGCAATTCTGCTGCAGTAATGGGCTTCACTTGCATTCTGTAATTAACTGGGGGAAATGATTTACAGCTATTCTGAAGAATGTATTAGGAAACCAGTATTGAATATTTTGTTGCAGATGCCTAGCAGTGATGGTCAGGATCTCTTGGCATTACAGAAAGCCATTCATTCTTCTAATCACCAGAGCAGCAGGCAGAAGGATTGGCATCCTGAGAAGATGACAGAAATCCAGCCTCATGTAAGTGGCATTATCAATTCCCTGTATTTTAACGTCACTGAGGTATCTTGACAGCTTTTTCTCTGGTGAATAGAAAAACTGCATTTGACATTATTTCCCAACCTCCTCATTCCCCGCTCATTGTAAGAAATCATGTGCCCACAGTCCTGCAGAATTCTTTGAAAATCTAGACATGAATGACAAGGAAAAGAAGGGAGACTAAATGTCCCTGTATCAGGCTTTGAGCCTTGCAAAATACTGGTTGTGGTTTTGTATTAGAGGCAAGCAACGTTTCGGTGCACGTTTATGGTAGCTGTGCAGCGCTGTAGAAAAGCCCTCAAGTCAGCTCTGCAAGGAATGGTGCGTCCCGAGGGCGCGCTGCTACTTGATGCTTGATGGGGTCACCAGAGCATCGTGACCATGTTACGGTGCAGCTGTGCCTCAGCCGGCGCAGACTGCGGTTTAAGCAGGCTGTGTTATTGGAGCATAGCACTGCACCAAGGCAACTCAATTTTCTCCAGTTCTCAAACCAGCTTGGGGGCAGGGTTTGGGAGGGAGTTCCAGTGCCGTGCTCTGTCATCGTTACAGCATTGAAAACTGAAGCGGGTTCGTTGCAGCTGCAGTGTCTGGCGAAGCAAGATGCTCTGTGAGCTGTGGAATTTAATGAGTCTGTTTTCATACCGCTTTGTGTTCTCAGGCTTCCCCAGGCTCTTGCTGCCCATTTCAGTAACCCCATGCCTCTGTTTCCCTTCAACCTGCTCACCAGTTAAAGAAGCTGTGAGGGACTAGAGCAGCTTATCACCCAGCTGCCAGCACACAAAACAGCAAACTGCTGAGTTCTGCCAGGCCTTATTTCAGTGCAGATGATTATTCAAGACTCTCTCTAACCCCTAATTGATGTTCACAAAATTTTTAGGAACTTTGTCTTTCTGATACCTGTGCCTTGTAAAATGTGGCTGAGGTTCTAAAGTTAATAGCAGGAGTAGTGACAGATGGGCAGCTAATGCAATTGTCTCTGCCTCTGTTTTCGCAGGAAACAAGGTTAAAATAATTGATGGGAACAATTTTTTTTTTCTGGTGTGGAAAAGATTCCATCTTTTTGGGTAGCTAATAGATTGAATCATAATGAGAAGACGTTTTCTCAGGTGTGTAGTCATAGCTTGGAATGAAATATTCCAAATGAGTACAAATTAAAAGTGAAGAAGTCCTGTGAAGCTCAAGATGTTCAGTGGAGGATACGACAGTTTTGTTAGAGGGAGTCTGATATGATGGAAAGCAGAAGGTCAAGCGCTTTTCCGTGTGTCTTTCAGAGCCAGCCATTAAAATCTCTTCGAAAGCTCTTGCACCTCTCCTCTTCCAATCATCCCGTCCCTGCTGAGCCTCGCTTCCAGCCCTTACCAAGTCAGCCGGCCAAAGCTTCTTTCTCTGAAGTGCGAATTCACCCCATGAGTCAAAGCTCCAGCAGCGGCAGCAGCAATGTGCGGCAAGAGCCTCCGCCAAAAAGCAGGCCAACGCTGCAGATACCGAGCCAGCTGGAGCCTTCCTGGCACGTCTCCCCGGTGAACAGGAGCACGAGCGATGGGCCTCCCTACTCCGATCAGCTGCCTTCCAAGAGCGGACAGAACGGGCACACGTATAACCGAACAAACCGATCGCGAATGCCAAATCTGAATGATTTAAAAGAGACAGCCTTGTAATTGCACTCCGGAAAATAGGCCAGTTCAGGTGGAGATCAGCGTAGGGGAGCGGTGGTGGTTCTGGTGATGGTAAGACTGCATTTTCAGCTTTATAAAGGTGTGCAATATGTACATGTGGAGCTATGCCGTTCGGCACCACAGTGAGAGTCAGGGATTATACAGTAAACTAAGTTGAATTACGAATTACCAGTCATCAGAAATGTCGCTGGATGCCAGGCAGAGCGTGCCGGTCGGGGAGAAAACTGCATTGCTGTTTTCTCTCATTTACATTCCAGCTCAGTGCACGTCTCTGTCTGAAAGCTGGGAGACTTCTGGTATGTATTGGCACTTATAAGGGTGAAAACGTTCATGTCTAGACCTATGCCCTTACTACATTTTTTGCTGCCTAGTTAAAACAGTGGGGTTTATGTGATAACAGTGTATCCCTGTTAAGGGTTTAAAGTTAAATTGTATGTCTTAAATTTGTTTTTTAAACTTCCATATTTGATAGGATTTGTAATATTTATTTATGATGACCTAATATCGTACTGTTATAATCATATCTTTTCCGTTATAATGTAAAGTTATTTTGAGCTGTTTGAAACATTGTGAAGCAGTGCAACAGCTACAGTAGTTTCTATAAAAAACTAACAGTAACATTTATATATTGCATCAGGAGTATTTTATTCTATATATAAATATATATAAATGGAAAATAACTGTCTGTTTTTTAAATATACTCATTTAAAAGAAAAGTATTGTTATGACACTATCTGCCATATTTTTATACATTTGTGATATAAAGTGCAGTATTATACTTCTAATAAAAGGAAGTTGAATGTGGATATAAACGCGACTGTAACAGTATGAATCTTGCTCAGCTATGAGAGCCCAGTATTGTAGGCATTACTGGTAACAAACAAAAGACAACATTCAATTCCAAGCTTTATTATGGGCTATTTTGTTGGAAGTATTGGCTAAATGTAAGAGACTGCCGAACTGTACAGTAATCTAAATGTGGTATGTTCTCCCCTGTGTCCTTAGCTTTCCTAGTAATATCAATGGGATTTCTGCATCTGCATCAAGAGCACAGAGCCCCAGTACCAAATTTCTGTTTCCTCTAAAGAGATAAAGTGCCCCGTGACTCCAAGCTAAAGCAGGTGCTCTCCCACTTAATAGCAGGGGTGAAAACCAAAGAAACATAGCATGAATTGCAAGTGAAATGCCAAACTTTGACACTTACGCATAGCATGGCACTGCAGATCATGGTATAAGCTTTTATGCATATGTGTATTTTACATCTCGTTTAGCAATCTATTAACTAATAAGATAAACACTGTATTTAAATTTAAACTACTCTTGCACTTTTTATTATATTTCAGGATGTATTTAAAGCTACAAAACTGATAGTTGGATATTGAGGGAGAAGGTTGCCGTGCAGCTTAGTTTCTCCGTAGGTCTTGCTGTCCGAATATTCCCATACACAGTTCAGTTACCAGTCTCAGCAAAATACTAGCTCTTAGGTTCCAGTCTCCTGTACGACATTGTTAAAACTGCCTTTACGTTGGTGAATGTCAAGTGTAGCAAATACACAACCTGATTCCTCTGTTGCTACTGGTAAACTAAACCAAAGGTGAGCCAGTAGGAGTCAAAAGAGGTATGCCAGTCTAAACTTCGTGCAATAAGAGGAGAGTCAGGCCTGTAGTGTCAGAACAATACAATCTTTCCTTTCTAAACATCTTAGTTCAACTCCCTCATTACTCTGCAGCACAGTTCGTTTTCTAGATGCTGTCCTCGTAAGACACTTGTACTTGCAAATACGTTGTCTTTTCCAAAAAGAGATTAACCTGAATGTAAATGCGATGATTTAGCCATAGACGTAGTTAACAGAAGCAGCCAGGCAGTAAGAGCTGAACTTCCTCCTTGGATAACAATGCAAACTGGACGCGCTGTTCGGTACTTCTCGAGTCATACCAAAGTTCTAACAACAACAAATTTGGCACCGCTACTCTAAGGGTATTTGCCTGAAGGTACAATGTGGAAGGATGTTGCATCAGGTTTGTCCAGGGCAAAAAGTCAGTCTCCTAAATTTGAAAAATTACAAAATAAGAATTCTTTCTTTGTCAATTGCCTGCAAGAAATGTGCATGTGATTTTTCTATAGATATATCTGATATATGATATCTAGATATATATGATATATGCTGTGTTGATATATCATATATATAGCATATATAAATACAGTAGACATGAAAGGGTATTCAGTTTTTGCTAAGTTCACTGGGCATCCAGGAAAGACATTGTGGTATTTACCCGTCATCGCTGTCAGAGTTTAGCAGCATAGTTTAGCAATCTCTTTTGGATTCACCAGCTGGTCACAGCCAGGTTAGTCCTGTTCTCTGCTTCGACGTGGGCTGATGCCGCTGAAATCCCTCACAAAAGCAGTGTGCAAGAGTGGGGCTCTAAGCAGTACGATTCGAATGTCTCCGAGGGAGCATTCAGACTAGACTCTTCTGTACTTTGTGGATATGTATCCTTTTGCCGCTGTGAGACTTTTAGCTTGCTGGTAAGAGCTTCATGCTGGGGATGGTGATGCTGGGCTGTATGTGGCTGTTCTGATTTCTAGCAAGCGAAAATGTTTCCAAAAGATTTTTTTTTTCTCAGTACCCATTAAGTTCAATCAGAGTACTCTCTGACTGTACATATAGCTGTTTAAAGTAGTTAGCAAAGCTTCAAGGGTGACCCAGGGAATGTTCAAGTATTTGGTGGCCCATATTTACAGAAAGTTGTTTCTACTTCATGCTGCATTTTCTTCTCGCATTCAACAAACCGTAGTAGATTTCAGTTGAATACTAAATTGTGTTGCAAGTATGTAGTATTTTCTTCCTTCTGTTGGAAAGAACTTCCAGCAGTCCGGCCAGCTGGTGCTGGGATAACTTGTGTATTTTGAACCTGGTCTAACTTCCCAATATTTAGAATATTGCTAATGTAATTTTGTCGAGGCTGCCAAAGGAGTCGTCTTATAGTGACTGAGATTTGCTGGCTCGATAAAGGAGATGAGAATTACAGAGGAAACGACTTTCTAAGTGTGAGCTTTCCTCTTCACTGGTCTGTGAGTCTTGTGCTACATGTTCTATAGATTTACTTAGTATAAAGTATCTTAGTTAAACTGCATTTTATTCTTTGGCAATCTGTTTTGCCTTATGGCATCATTAATGATGTGAATAGAAAAGAAATTCAGAAATGAATTATAGTAATTTTGCAGAACTCAAGCTGCCTAAACTTGTCTGTATGTTTTTACTATAGCTCTTGAGCTCTTTTTAACTGAAAAAGAAGCACCTTAAGCTCATCTTACCTGAAATTGTATATATGTTTAAGCTGTCCTTCTAAACTGCCATGTAAATGTATTAACCTAGAACAACATATTTTTTTTCAACAGACCTGACCACAGAGAACAGTCCCTTAGAGCTACCTAACGCTTCTTGCTGCATTTATCGCAGTCCAAGATTCGTTGCTCCTCTGAGAGGTCGCCAGCACGGAGCACCAGGCAGAGTTCTTGGCAGGAAGTCAGCGATCCTGGATTTGGTCCCTTCTTCCTAAAACATTCCCCGTCCTGCAGGGCTTGGGACTGACAACAAGCTTTGATTTCTGGCACCAAGTCAGACCCACCCAAACGTGTGGGTCCTGACACCACTCTAGATATCTACAGATACTCACTCTTTTAGCTCAGTATTAAAGCAGGCTTCCAAATTCCAAGCTCACGAGACTCCCTCAGGTGGTCCTGAGCCTTGTCGCCTTTCTGTCTGCTGGCCAGCTTGTTTCCGGGAGCAAAGCTGGAGTGATTCTTCAAGAAGCAGTGTCCTGTGATAGCCTGTTTTGGCTGTTCCTTGTCATTGCAGTCAGGTCTCTTCGTAGTTGAGTCTTACTAGTGTTGAAAGCTACACCCCAATCTTTTCTTTGCTCTTCAAAAGCTGCTGTAGCTATTAGCTGAGTAGACTCTTGTGTTCACCCAGAAAAAGCTATGACTTCTTAACAATTCGGTACAGCAGACCTCCTTTATAAGAAAGGGGGCACAGATGATACGGCTCTGAAAGCACTGTTGTGATCTATTTAGCTAAGGCAAAACCCAGCCGCTTTTGAGGGGAACCATGCTCAAGAAGTGTTTGGGGTTTTTCTTCACATTTCCATTTTTTCTTGTCTTATAATGATGTGGTAGTGAGACGTGCTTCAAAAATACCCGCGTGTAATTAATTCTGTAGATGTTGAACACTGCCGGAGTAGAGCTGGGAGAATATTTGAATCCCAGTGACACACAGAGTATGAAAAGGATAGCCATATATAATATACTGCAAATTGTGGGGTGGCAATGAATGTTTATTTTTTCCATTCCAGCTAGCATACATAATACATCTATTAATGGGGTTATATCCTAAACCGTGCATCTAGGCTGTTGTTCACGTAAGTAGGCCCACCATTCAAAATAGGATAGGAGCGTGACAGAAGTTGATTGGAAAGGTGATGTGCCCTATTTAACCATTTTTAAATGACCTTCAAATCAGGACACTGTTTAAGAACAGGTGCCT